AGGAATTGTGGCATGGCTATCCCCCCGGGGGGTGATTTCTTGCTTTCTCTCTGTCTCTCTTTCTATTTCCAGTGAGTGCGTGTCCTATAGCAAAAATGTCTCTTAAAAAAAAAAAAAGATTAAATGTACTGAGCCAGCAGGTGGCATAGTGGTTAAAGTGCTGGATCCCACATGGCTGATTCTATGGTTCAAGTCCCAGACCAGTGGCTTTAAAACATACCAGGTGTGTGTGCATGCATGCCCAAAATCCTAAGGGGAGAATAGGGGGAAAAAAGGATTTCAGTGAGACTATGTTCCCTGGCAGAGGGGTAATTTCCCACTTTCCCTTTCTCTTTGTCTCTAGTGAGTGTACTTGCCCTATGGTAAAGATCTTAAAAAAAAAAAAAAAAAAATTTTTACCAGAGCTTGTATTCCATAAACTGTTCTAGACTGCTTTTCATAAAAGGTCAGTGGGACCAGCAGTTAGTGTAATGGCTATGTCATTGTACTCCCATGTAGTCGACCATGGTTCACGTCCCAGACCCAGTGGCTTAAAACTCATGCCGGGCACGTGTGCGTGCATGCCCAAGATCCCGAGAGGAGAATGAAGGAGAAGGGATTATGGTGTGGCCATCCCCCCGAGGGGTGACTTCTCACTTTCTGTCTCTCTATCTCTCTCTCTGTCTGGTGAGTACACACGCCTTATAACAAAAACCTCTCCAAAAAAACAAAAGCAAGGTCAGTTAGGTGTGAAAGAATTTCCCAAGGAGTGATCACGCACAGCTAAGGAGTGCTTCTTAATGCACTCAGAAACGAAAAGCCGTCTGAAGATAACTTCCCAGACTCCTACTCCCAAGTCTGTCAGCCAGCTGCAATGCTTCCTACACACACAGCCTATCTTCCTGTAAACAATGAGTTGTTCATGTGGCTATCTTAGGCCATTCCCTCACGTGTGCCCCAGATCCTACCTCCTCTGTCTACTGTAATGGTCTCTTTTCTTACCTACATTACCACAATTTCTTATCCAATTAAATAATTCCTATTACCAAATGTTATAAATATATAAATGCTATAATATATCACATCTTATAAAGAAAACTTGGGTCAGCCAATGGCTCAATGGTTAAGGCACTGGAACCCATTTGGTCAACTGTGTGGTTCAAGTTCCAGAACTAGCCCCTTGAAAAACACAATGGGTGCATGTGTGTGCATGTCCAGAATCCAAAAGGAAGGAGAGATGGAGGTAAAAGAACCACGGCATAACCATGCCCCATGGGGGTGCTTTCTCTTTCCCACTCTCTGTCTCTGTCTCTATTTGGCAAGAACACATGCCCTCTGGTGAAAAAAAGGAAAAAGAAAAATCTTCCCGAACCCACATTCATAACTTCTTGCATTTCATTCTTTCAGTTTCTTCAGCTTCACTCTCTTGTATCCATTCCTGTTGGGCTTTCATTCCTATCATCCATTAAAAGCAATTTCATCAAGATCACCACTGTCCCCCACATTGACAAATCCATTGGTCATTTCTCATTCCTTACATTACTTGGCTTCTCCAAAGGATTTGATCATTTTTTTTTTTTTGGAGAGATTTTCACTGTAGGGCGCGTGCGCTCGCCAGACAGACAGAGAGAGACATAGAGACAGAAAGCGAGAAATCACCCCCCAGGGGGGATGGTCACGCCGCAATCCCTTCTCCTCCATTCTCCTCTCAGGATCTTGGGCACGCACACACATGCGCCCGGCGTGAGTTTTAAGCCACCGGGTCTGGGACACGAACCGCGGTCGACTACATGAGAGTCCAGCGACATAGCCATTACGCTAACTGCTGGTTCCCAGGATTTGATCATTTTTTAAAAAATCTTGCCATACAGTGCATGAGCTTGCTAGAGAGAGACAGAGAGAGGGGAAGAGAGAGAGAAACACTAAGAAATTACCTCACTCCCCTGCCAGAGGGGGTGGCCACAATGCAATCCCTCCTCCTTTCTCCTCTTGGTATGTTGGGCACATCAGCATGCACACCTGTGTGCTTTTCAAGCCACTGGGTCTGGGACTCAAAGCATGTTGTTAGCCATGTGGGATTTAGACACCTTCACCACATTACTGACTGGCCTGATTTGATAAAATTTGACCCCTCTCTCCCTTTTGAAAATTTTGCTTCACTTGGCTTAATATTCATTCTCTTACCAAACTGCTCCTTTCATACTCTTCATTTTTCCATCTTTAGTAAAAGGAAATTCTGTCCCTCCAGTTTCTCAGGCTAAAATAATTGAAATCACCTTTGAATCCTCTCTCCCTCTCTCACATCCTACATCCATTCCATCAGCAACATTTGTTTTGATGTATCTTCAAAATATATCCAGAATTTGACTACTCACCATCTCCACCATTGATTGACCTTATTCAAGTTACCATGAATTTTCACCTGGATTATAGTAATAGCTTTCTAAGCCTCTGCCCTCATGGAGCTTAGACTCTAGTGTGATCTAGACAGTGATTTAGATAGTGATACGCTAGTGATAAAATAGTGCTAGGAAGTTATAGCTTCCTAACTCTCATCTGGATTATTGTATATTCTTGCCAAAACCTACATGAAAAAACAAGTAAGATATGGACTAAGGCCTAACTAATGAATTTCACAATCGGTAACCTTAACAAGATTGCTTTTACTGGAACAGTAGCCCTGAAAGAACCGGATCCTGATAGAACTGGATTCCACTCTGTAGTGCAATCCTTTATGCTACCTAAATTGTCTTCTTCCTCTTCCTGTTCCCCCTCTTCCTCCCTCTTCTCTTCTTCTTTATTAAATTGTGCCACAGGGTACCGGTGCTTGCCAGGGAGAGAGAAAAACCAAGAAATCACACCCAGCCCCTCCATGGGGCAAGGGCATATTGCAACCTTCCTCTATGTCTCCCTCCTATCAGGATTTTGGGACCAGTATGTTTTTCAAGCCACTGGGCTGGATTTCAAACTGCGCAGTTAACCATATGGGATCCAGTTGCCTTAATCTGCACCACTGGCTGGCCCTACCTGCTATTTCTCTCTTTTTTTAGAATTACTTATTTTTTTATTATTAAATTTGCTATAGGACACGTGAGTATGCATACATGAAATAGAAAGCAAGCCACCAGGTCCAGGATCTGAACTGCAGTTGACCATGTGGGAGTCCAGAGCCTTAACCACCACACCCCTCCTATCTCTTAACCACTAGACCACATTACAATGGGGCAGTGGGGCAGTAGGCCTCTACAGCAGTGATTTAAGAATTTATCAGATGGATGGCATAGTGGTTAAGGTGTTGGACTTCCACATGGTCAACTGCAGTTCAAGTCCCCAGATCTCTAGAGGAGAATGGAGAAGGGATTGTTATGTGGCCACCTGCCTGGGGGGAGGGGTGACTTCTCTCTTTCTCTCCATCTCTCTCTGGCAAACCAATACACCCTATAGCAAAACTCTCCCCCCCCCAAAAAAAAATGACTAGAGACAGAAACATGAGCATGAACAGAAGTTATTAGAGCTCAAAGCATAGGTGAGAGTACCTGAGTGAGACCTGAGCAGGTTCACAGGTTTGCAGGTTCCCACCTTTCCGTGGGGAAGGTCTCCTTTTATGGTCTGTCATGGGGTGGAGGGTAGAATAAGGATAAACTCTGCAAGCTCTGGTCTGGATGGGTGTCTATTGACTCTATTGACTCTCAGGAATGCGGCGGCTACAGGTGATTGCCAGAGGTGGTGCTAGACAGGTTGAACATCTGCTTTCCCTCTTGTAAACCTTATCTCAGGGGGTTTTATCTTGAGCTCTTACCCTAAGCAAGCTTACTTATTTCCTTAGGTAAGGCTCATTTTATGCCTTTTTCATTAACCCTTGTTTGTCTAGTATATGAACCCTCCACACACACACACACACAGGGCTGGCCCTGTAACTGCTCTTTCTCCTGAATTCCGGTACCTGTTAAAATGACAGCTTTTGAGGGGTCAGGTGGTGGTGCAGCTGCACTGACATGAGGAGAAACTCGATTTGCCCCAGAACTTTGCTGTGCACGGTGGTGTGCATGCACGCGCCCATGGTCCAGGTTGGCTGAGGCTGAGATTGGACTGCAGTGTTAGGGTGCTTATCTCTCTCTTTTTGAAGAAATGAACTTTTTCTAAAATGGCAACTTGTGAGAAATTTCTCTTATCAAATAGCGCTTCCTGGGACCAGCAGGTGGCATAATGGTTAGGTCGCTGGACTCCCACATGGTCCACTGTGGTTTGAGTTCCAACCCAGAGTCTTGAAACTTACACCAGGCATATGTGTGTGCCTAAAATCCCAGAGGACAATGGAGAAGGGATTGCAGCACTTCCTGTATCTCTCTCTTCGCTTCTCTATAGATAAAAAAATCTCTGGGGGCGGGGTAGGGGGATATAGGGCTTTCCACTCTCCCTGTATTTTTCATAGCGTTTATCACTACCTAAATATTAAATATATATTTATTGGATGTTTCCCACCCACCTACACACTAGATTGCAAGTCCATACGGTGAAGGCTTTCTCTCTCTTTTGTAAAGAGATTTTTGCCTTAGGGGGTGAGAAATCTTAGAAAGGGTGAGAGGGAAAGACGCCATAATCCCGGCTCCTCCATTCCTCTCCAGGGATCTTGGGCACTCACTCTAAGTGCCTGGCGCGAATTTTAAGCCACCGCGTCCAGGACTTGAACCGTGGTCAGTCACGTGGCAGTCCAGCAACGTAATCGCTAAGCCATCTGCTGGCCCCATGGGCAGAGGCTTTTTCTTGTTCACCACTGTCTCACCATCATATAACTGTGTCCGACGAGTAGTGGGTACTGAATAAATATCTGTTCAATTAGTCAGTAAGCGACCGCCGTCTGTGCAAACATACTCAACCTTAGGACTTCCAGAACGTGACACCTTGGGCTCTAGGAATATTGCTAACACCGAATCCAGACGTCCGACCCTCTCTTAGAAGACATACGGTAGCGCTTCCGCCTTCGCTCAAAACTCGAACAGCAGGGGCGGAGGGTTTGTGTCATCACCCCGCGCCGGCCTGCTCCGCGACGCGCCGGCGGCTGGCGCAGCCCTTCGCTCGCCCGGCCTCCCCCTCCCTGGTTCTGCGCTCTGGTTCCGCCATGGAATCTAACAAGGATGAAGCCGAGCGCTGTATTAGCATCGCCCTCAAGGCCATCCAGAGCAACCAGCCCGACCGAGCCCTCCGCTTCCTGGAGAAGGCGCAGCGCCTGTACCCGACGCCACGAGTTCGTGGTGAGTGCGAAACGCTGGAGACAGAGGGGGACATTAGAGCTGATGGGGGGAACCCAGGAACGGACCGACGGGAGCAGTTGGAGGAGGGGGAGGGGTGGCGAGGCGCGGCTACGCCTGCGCACTGGGGTGCGCGGTGGCTGCTGGGAGGTGTAGTCCCGCCCTCCCACGCCTCTGCGGGATGTTGGACACCTGCGGGCAGGGGCGGCCGGGACTTTGCCCGTCAAGGTGCTTGCGGAACCCTCTGGGATTTGAGGTTCCCGGGAATGAGATGCGCTGGCCGATAGGGCGAAGTGGACTTACCTGGAAGCGAATTCGAACTACTTTTCCCAAGGGGCCGTTCGGTGGCCCAGGGCCAGTTGCCGGCTTGAGAAATTTTATAGTTCAGGGAAATAAACATAACTCCTCCGGGGGAAAGAAAACATAACTCCTCCGGGGCAAAGAGTGGGTTCTAGAGAGGAAAAGACTTCCGACCTTCGGGCGCTTCTGGAAAGACGCCTCCATAACTTCAGTCCTCAGACTATGGCCAGAAACCGACCACCCTCCCGAAACGGGACCCTGGCTTTTTATCCACTGCACTCTGCCCCTGAGACCCGGCTCCTCGCACCCTCCCGCCAGTGAGGTTCGTAGTGGATGGCCTTGTTGGAGGTGCCAGCTTCAGCCAACCCCTGCCCAGCCCATCCTCACTCCCAAGAATCCATTAGTGGCAGGTCACATGGACTCTGCTAAGCATCAGCTGCTTTGTGGCCCGGACTGAAGGCTCCTAAACCAGGGAGAGTCTAGCGACGGTGTCTTTACTACTCGTCATCCCAGGAACTGCCCCGCACCCTGCTTTTTAATACAAGTTTTTAAATACAAGCTGGAGGGTAGAAAGATAACATGTTTTGTGCCTGTGGTTACTTGTTAGCTATCTGGCATGTGTCAGACGCTCAGAATTGGAAGACTCAGGTTAAGTCAAATAAGCCAGGCACAGAAAGAGAATACCACATGATCTCACTTAATTGTAGAATCTAAAAAAAGTTGATGTCATAGTAGGAGAGAGTAGAATGGTGGTTCCCAGAGGCTGGGAAGTGTAGTGGGGAGGGAGGGATTGGACAAAGTTATAGATGGGCGGAGCAGGTTCTATTGTTCTATTGCATGGTAGGATGACTATAATTCACATTAATATATTGTATATTTCGAAATGGCTATAAGAAATGACCTTGGGGAACCAGCAGTTAGTGTAATGGCTATGTCGCTGGACTCCCACATAGTCAACCACGGTTCGTGTCCCGGTCCCGGTGGCTTAAAATTCACGCCGGGCGCGTGTGCGTGTGCGTGCATGCCCAAGATCCCGAAAAGAGAATGGAGGAGAAGGGATTGCGGCGTGACCATCCCCCCTGGGGGGTGATTTCTCACTTTCTGTCTCTATGTCTCTCTCTGTCTGTCTGGCAAGGGCACGCGCCCTATAGCGAAAAACCTCTCCAAAAAAAAAAAATGACCTTGAATACTCTTAGCACAAAGAAATGATGAATGAGTTTGAGGTGACGAATATGCTAATTACTCTAATTTGATTATTACACACTATATGCAGGAATCCAAACATCACACTGTACCCCAAAAATATATAAAATTATTACATGTCAAATTAAATATAGGAAAAAAAAAAAAAAAGGAAGGCCAGCCAATGATGTGTTGGTCAAGGTGGCTGGATCCAACATGGCCAACTGACCAGTGGTTCAGCTGAAAAACATAGCAGGCTTGTATGTGTGCACCCATAATCCTGAGAGGAGAATGGAGGAGAAGGGATTGTGGCTGGCCATCCCTTCTGGAGGGTGCTTTTCCACTTTCCCACTCTCTCTCTCTCTGATGAGTGCATGTACCTCATAGCAAAACTTAAAAGAAAAATTAAAGAATTAGAAGACCTATGTCATGGGCCTGCTGGTGGCATAGTGGTTGGAGTGTCTTGATCCCACATGACCAACTGTGCAGTTCAAGTCCTGGACCTAGCAGCTTGGAAAACATGCCAGATGTGCGTGCTACATTCCCAAAATCCTGAAAGGAGAAACGGAAGAGAGGGGACTGCTGCATGACCATCCCAGCTGGGAGGTGCTTTCTCACTATCCCTCTCACTCTGTTTTTGTCTGTCTCCAGGGAGCACACGCCCTATAGCAAAAGTTAAAGAAGAAAAATACTATGTGACTTTTCTGAGCTCCGGTTTCCTTATCTGGGAATTTAGAGGGTTGGCACAAAAAAATGTGAATAACAATGATACCCATAGGGCCTTTTGGTTTAGAAAGCTCTTTCAAATGTGTTTTCTTTTTTAAAAAAAATTATTTTATTTAACTTTATTTACATTCTGTCCCCCCAGAGAGGGACAGAATGAGAAAGTGAGAAAGCAAAACTGCCAGGTCCCAGACTGAAATTGGAATCGGCCATGTGGGAATCCATTACCCTTATCCACCATGCCACCTGCTGGCCCCTCAAATGTGTTTTCTCATTTGGACCTACCCTGTCAGGGAGGTAGAGCATAGATCATTATCTTTATTATATAGATGAGGAAACATACCAGGTGTAAGGGACTGGCCCATGACTACATGGCTAGAAATTAGAAAGTTTTCTTCTTTTAATTTGCCAGAGGGTGTATGTATTCCCTCCCCCCCCCCACCAGAGAAAAACAGACAGGGAGATGGAGAAAGCATTCTCCCCACAATGGAGCATGGTCATACCACAATGCCTTCTCCATTTCTCTACCCTGTCAGGATTTGGGGCACATATACACGCCCACACATATACACACAGTGTGATTTTTTTTTTTTTGGAGAGATTCTTTTCGCTATAGGGCGCGTGTGCTCGCCAGACAGAGAGAGACATAGAGACAGAAAGCGAGATATCACCCCCCGGGGGGATGGTCACGCCGCAATCCCTTCTCCTCCATTCTCCTCTCGGGATCTTGGGCACGCACACGCACCCGGCATGAGTTCTAAGCCACCGGGTCCAGGACGCGAACCGCGGTCGACTACGTGGGAGTCCAGCGACATAGCCATTACGCTAACTGCTGGTTCCTACACACAGTGTGATTTTCAAACCACCTCAGGGGCCAAGATTTGAATTCTGAGGCTGATCGTGTGGGATCCAACTCCCTAGGCCACTGGACCAGCCCAGAAATTGGAAAGTTCTGTGACTGTAATTATTATTAAAGGAATGAAATGAAATTGAAGAGCAGCAGTCAGCCTCCTACACCTCCCTGCCCACATTGTGAAATTGAGAAAGGGAACCACTGGCAGAAGCAGCAGCCTCAAATGCCTGAACTTTCCTCTCTCCTGACTTTGCAGGTTGACCTTTGGCCCATTTGCCTCCGCCTAGAGAGGTCTGCAGTCTGTGTTTGCCAGGACTCTGGAGGAATCCTGCTCAAGGAGCTTCCCCATTAAATAAGTCACACTCTCTAAGTGGGGAACATGAGCGGGTAAGGGCCCTCCAGCTGTCAGAATTCTGCCTGGCTCTGATGTAGCTGAGACTCAGGAGAGGCAACTGAGAAAGGATGGTCACAACAGAGCCAGTGGGACTCTTTCTGGCAGCAGGAAGCTCCTGTTCAGGAGCTTGAATGAGTGTCCACTCCAGGGCTCCAGCTCAGGCAGAATTACCTGCTGCATGGTTGTCATTTTTGTGCTCTCTGGAAAGAATATATGCCTCAGGGCCAGCAGGTGGCACAGTGGTTAAGGGTGCTGGACTCCCACATGGCCGACTGCTGTTGGAGTCCCAGACCTGGTGGCTCTCTCTCTCTGTCTCTCTCTCTCATTCTTTTTCATTCTTTCCCTCTCTGGTCAAATTAAAAGAAATAAACAAGCAAATAAATAAACAAACAAACAAAAACACTTCATAACTGTGTAAACTTCATCTGGTGGCTTTGCAGCCCTACACTGAGCTGACATGGACCTGGTGTTAGTTTAGGTCAGGGGCTGGGAAATCTTAGTTTAAAAATATTAAATGATGGACCAGCCAGATGGCATGGTTGTTAAGGTTCTGGATTCTACATGGCTGACTGTGTGATTCAAGACCTAGACCTGGTGGTTTGAAAAAAACACTGGGCACAGCGGGTAGCAGCAGCAGCAGGCGGCATGGTGGTTAAGGCGTTGGACACTCCCATGTGGCCAACCATGTTCAAGTCCTGGACCTGGTAACTTGCTTTCTCACTTTCCTTTTCTCTGTGTGTCTGTCTTTCTCTGGTCAAATGAAAATAAATGAATGAATAAATAAAATTACATAAATAATTCTTTTAAAAACAACAACACACTGGGCACATGTGTGTGCATACTGAAAAAATCTTAAGAGGAGAATAGAAATGAGGAATTGCAACATGGCCGTCTCCAGGGAGTAATTTTTTTACTTTCCCTCTCTCTCTCTATCCCTCTCCAGCAAGTATACATGTCCTATAACAAAATTTTAAGAACTAATAAAGAAATGGATCTTGATTTCTGGGAGACATGTGGTGTAGAGTGAGTGACTTACATAAAATTAAAAAGTAGAAAATATACATTAGACAGGGCAAGTCCGTGGTGTGGTGGTTAAGGTGGCTGGATCCCAAGTGGCCAGCTATGTGGTTTGAGTCCTGCACCCTGCAACTTAAAAAACATGCTGGGCACACATGCATGCATGACCAAAATCTTCAAAGAAGGGAGAGATGGCGGAGAAAGGATTGCAGCATGACCATTCCCCGTGGAGGCTGTCCCCCACCACAACCATACTGTGAGCACAGGTACCCTCTGGCAAAAATTAAAAAAAAAAAAAAAAAAAAAAAAAGATGGTGGATGCTTTGGATTTTTGCTCATTCCAGATGTTCATTCAGTGCAACAGACTTTGTTTTGTTTATTTTAAAGAATTATTCATTTAACTTTTTAAAAAGAATCATCCGATTAATTTTTAATTTAATCCTATTTTAATTTATTTATCATTATTTTTTGATTTGCTACAGGGCACATGTGCTCATGAGAGAGAGATGGGAGGGGGGCAGAATGAGAAAGCAA